GACCTGAGAGACAGAAAGCCCTCGAGGCTGTCTGTGCTGCAGTGGCTGGCACACAGGTGATGACCATGCCCTTGGGGAGGACTTTAGCGTCTGTGACAAAGAGGACCTCCCAGGGGCTTGAGCTGGCCACAGACCAGGAAGCTGCGGTCAGGGGAACCCACTCCTCCTCTAAATGGGCTGGGTGCTGTACGCAGGAGAGGAATCACCAGTGCCTGGAACGTCGCAAACTACCACACTGAAGTGACGTTATAGAGACCAGGTGCGCAGAAACTAAGCAAGCGTAGCTGTCCAGCCGCTGAGAGCCAGCTACGCCTACTGTTGGCTAGGGGACTCCAGTTCTGCTGAGCAGCACACACACCCCATTCCACCCCTCACCCAATACTGAAAAGAGTAAAAGTTAATAGGAAGCAACATTTATTTTCCTGAATGTTTATAGAGTTAGTTTCTTTTCAATTGGCAAATATCACTTTTAGGAATCTACTCTATAGCACATAAATCAATCAAAAATGTTCCATTGATTTTATGAATTGTCATACTTGAGATAATTATTCAACAGACAGAAGTAAGAGTATGAATAATAATTTCAAATAAAATTAGTTACTAAGGACAACATGACTTCTGCTAAAAGTATACTTCTACTATGGCTATCACTGATTTTTAGGAAATTAATAAAGAACAAAAAAGATGCAATATCTTAGTGTTCATCTATCTGAAGATCATATAACACTAAGACTCGGAATGTGATCCTGCTGAGAAAGCCCTCCTTAGAGAAGTCCGGCGTGATTCTGAAGCGAGCACTTGGGCCTGAGCTTGCCTCTTTAGGTTTCAAAGCACATGGCTTGTTTCAAGCCATTTTTAGCTTTTAATCAAAAAATCGATTTCAGCATAACCCAAATGGGAAAAGCGCTTATCGCACAGAGCTCAGGTAGCTCGCTTGTCCTGCAGGTTGTCAAGTTTACCGTCCACAAGCTGAGCCCAAGTGCCCACAGCAGCGCCGCTCCTGGGAGACTCAGCGAGCCTGCTGACTCGCCGGCCGCCAGCTCTGCAGCCGTCAGGGACTCCACACGCCCCGGCGGTGATGTCTTCCCAAGCTGCCGCAGGGGCAGGGACAGAACAGGACAGATGGGAGGCTGCTTCCCTGAGCCACTGGGCACCACGGCTGGGAGGGCCACAGCGTCTGCTGGGGACAAGGCCACCCAGGACCCCTTCCTCCCAGCAGCAGGGATGCAGGGCCAGCGTGGGCAAGAGGCTGCCCTGAGGACAGGGCTGGCCCTCCAGAGCCTCTGCCTCCACATGTGGGATCCTCGGGGTCTTTCTGGACGTAAGACCCACTTGCTTAGCGAGGGGGAAGGCATGAGTCCTCCGGCTGGAGGGTCGAAGGAGAGACTGCGCCTTACCTGTCAAAGGTTATTTTGATGGAGTGTCCTGGCTTCGCTTCGATGATCCATTCACAGTTCAAAGAATCTTTGTAATAGCCTGGCCATCCGGGAGGCAAGATGACCCCGCTGGAAGCGGTCAGATGTCCACCGCATGGCGCTGTGGGGCGACATCCAGCGGGGGGCGGTCAGAGGAACACAGAAGACACCACTGCAGCCCCATCCACACGGGAGTCCTGGCTGCACAGCGCCCCACTGTGGGGGCTCCCAGTGCTGGGGAGACTGAGGACACAATGCTCCACTCTGCTACTGAGTCCTTGTCTACTCTTATCCCTCCTGCTTTTTTTCAAATGCTTTCTGCGCTACTTTATTTATATTTTCACTTTTCATTTGGGTCATTATTTTATAAATGTTTTTAATGTGTTTGGTACAGGATCTCACTATGCAGCTTGAACTCATAGTCATCCTCCTGTTTCAGCCACCCCTGAGCTGGGATTACAGGCATTTGCCACCATGCCTGGTCTTGATGGCTGGCTCCGCACATCCAGGGGCAGGGCCAGTGCAGCATGTGGTGCCAGGGAATTGAACCCTGGTCCTGGGCATGCCTAGGGGCCATTATTTTGGTATCTAATGTTTTGTTAGAAGATCACCAATTCTGAAGATAAGTCCATGCAAAATTATTTCTTCCTCATAGATAATTTTGTAATTTTGTTTTGTTTTGTGTTAGCATTTTCTATTTTTAAAGCTGCCAGAGAGCTGGGAGCAGGTTAGAGGCTGGAAGGAGAAGGGGAGGGGAAAAGGTCGGGAGAGGGTGAAGAAGGGAGAAGAGAGCGAGGGGGCACGTGGGTGGAGGGGGAAGCTCCACGGCCTAAACCCGCGGCCTACTTGGTACCTGTCCATTCTTCTGGAATGACAACATATTGAAACAAAACAAAACCTTGAATTGCTATGAGATATATATTTTTATTGTTTTTAAATAATGGGCCTTTAGGGTAGGCCAAATAGCTCACAGATTAAAGTGCCTGCAAGCAGGCACAGGGGCCAGGGGTTCTATCACCGGGCCTGCTGTGCCTGCCCCGCTCCCAGGGTTGCACTGAGCAGGCAATTGAGACTGGGCCTGGTGGTGCGTGCCTGTAATCCCAGCTCTTGGGAGGCTGTAAACAGGCAGATCACTATGAATCCAATCTACTAGTGAGACCATGAACACCCTGCAGACCCTTCCCTAAAATACAGGGGGAAGAAATGAGCATTTGTCATTCATATTCCTAAAAACAGCGCCACTTTCTCCTTCCCTACTCCCTTGAAGGTAGTTGTGCAGGGTCTGTGCTTCTCGGGCACGAAGCCCGCACTCACTCTGAGCCACTGGCCCCGACACCCGCTTTCCGTCGGGTACTGCCCTCGAGCACTCTGAGCTTCTGGCTCTAGCCTTGCTGCTCGGCTCCCGCACTTGCGCTCTGCTTCACTTTCTGTGCTTTGGGCTTACTTTCTGGGGATGCGCAAGGCTCACCTGGTCTTGGTAGAAAGGATGCCCCTCCCTGTGGGTGTGGGGACTAAGGGGCTCAGGCAGGGGATTTCTCTTGAATAGACAATAACTAATTAGAGTGGACTTCTCCTTTGTGTTTAGAAGCTTGCTGTGATTTAGTTTCTATTATATTCAATTGTACTTTACTCAGAGCACGGTCCCTACAGGGGCTGAGACTTCTTTTGATCTTAAGGCTCACTCTGTGGACAGTGAGAGAGCTGATCATAAAGTGACTCTGCAGGAAAGTAACAACCTGGTCTGCAGGGAGGCGAGGCTCTTTCCACCCTGTGTGGTCGAAAGTCACCATGAATGTTTACGTCTTTTAAAAATGTATTACAGTCAAAGATACACACACAGTCACGTATCCGCCTCAGCATACCTAGCCCGCTGTCAGGCTCACCCGTGCTGTCCTTCCCACCCCTCTCTAGGGCAGCTCTAGAAGTCCTTTCTATGAGCGCCCTGGCTGCCTCAGGGTCCTGGATTGGTGCATGACATTTACTCTTCACGCTGATTTTGATTTTGAGGAAGAGCCAGAATTCACCTACTGCCAGATCAAGTGCTCAAGGGGGATGAAGACGCGGAGTCGTGTGTTTTACGAGCCTGCCAGTCCCTGGCTGCACTAAGCAACAACACTCACCATGTATTCCTTTTAAAACATATATATGAAGACACTCAGGGGAAAGAACTTCCAGAGCTGCCCAGAGAGTGGTGAGACCTTGCTGTGCTCGTGCAGTTCTGAGCTGGGATCCTGTCTCTCTCCCAGACTTGCCATCTGGCAGTCAGGCTGGTCCTGTCCTGAAAGCACCCCTGGCCAGTCTCTCTGGAATGCGTCTGTGCTCCATCAGAATTTTTTGGGCAAAGAAGAGCTTTGTGAATCTTCCACAAGGATCTTTTCTGCTGTGGTGTGGGCTTGCTATCAGCCTGTCCTGGGTCTTGTATTTAACCTCACTGGACTCGGGGTTGGGCTGGGGATCTTCCTAACAGTTACTGAGACCATTCTGGTTTAGAAGCTGGGCTCTTCTGAAGGTCTTTCCTGCGCAGGCTATGCTCAGGGGCCTGTCCCACAGCCCCGAGGCCTCTGTAAATAGCCTTCCCTAGGAAAGCCCACAGTGGCAGAACAGGAGCAGAAGGCTGTTTATTTAAAGCACGTCTCTCATGAAAACATGCGCGCTTCAGTCAGCAGCGAAGTGCTCGGCCAGAGCACTGTGTGGAAAGAGGATTAGTGTGCTCCACTCTTAGGCCTGAGCACAGCTTGTATGTGTATGTACTTTATGTACAGAGGATGAAAAACGGCCCCGTTTATTAATGTCACATAAAATGGAAAAGGTACAGATTAAGCATTTAGCACATGCAATTAACATCAATCAAAACACAATGCCACTGTGGTTTTCTCGCCCTTCTTTGTGTCAATTTTGCACCCAAGGCAGGTGCTGACGGGCCGCCAGCTCGCTGTAAGGATTTACAGAAGCACACAGAACACTGATCTGGTGTTCAGTGCTGGCAGCTGAGGCAGAGTGGGTCTCGCTCGACATGCTTCCGTGAGACAGAGCGCCCGGCCTCAGGGCCAGCCTGGGGCAGGCAGGGGATCCGGCGGGGCTCGGGCTGAAGGTCCCTACACTGAGCCATGCAGGGAGATCCTGGGCTTGCTGTGGACACGCCACACGCTCCAGACAAGGGCGCCGCCCTGCTTACCACTTCTCTTCTACCTGCTCATTAAAAAGAAGCATATGCTGACTTCAGACAGCTGAGAAAGCAGAAATAAGCCAAAAGGGAAAAACTTCCTAACAACATGGCTCCCGCCCTGGTATGCACGTTCCTGCTAGCTCTCTTAAGTCTTTCCCCTGAGACACTGGGGCATCATGTGCCTGCACCTCGGGCACACTGCCCCCTGTGCTTGTGCCGTCTGGTCCCTGCATGATAGCCCTCAGGAGCAAAGACAGTAACTGTTTTTTTTTTTTTTTTTTTAATCTATTTTGCAGCCCACTCTTCAGAGTTGCTGGGAGGAACCAGCCCAGCCCCCGCCTGCCCCCCAACCTGCAAGAACACAGGTCTCTTGTTAGAGGCCCTTTGCTGCTCTTGAGGTGGACACCTAGGACCTAACAGGGATGCTGTTCGGAGGTACGCGAGGGACCGAGGTGCAAGCCGCAGAGGCCAGGGCCCACCTTCGCAGCGCGGCACGGTGGAGCTCCACACCACGTTCCCATCCTGCAAGATGCAGCTGATCGACTCTGACCCCTGGGTCTTCACAAATCCATCGTCACAGTGGAAGGAAACTGAGCTCCCCAGGAGGAACCTGTCACCAAAACGCCGCCCATTTATAGGGATGCCAGGGTCATGACATTCATTTTGCCCAAATGCTGAAAAGCAAAAAAGAAAAATAAAGAGGCTGATAATCAGTTACAAGTATTTAAAATAAAGGAGTAGAACACACTTACAGAGCCATTATTTCTCCAAATTTCAGTTACGCATCTTTCTTGGATAAACAGAATTTTTATCAGTGAGATATCAATATTTGTGGGGGAAGAGAGTAAATGGCGATAGCATCATGTCCATAGCTCTTGTCGGTGTGGAAAATAGTCTCCCACCTACTGGGGGCAGATGAGGGATGAGCTGCAGCTGGGCTGCTGGGAGTCCTGGCTGCTGGGCTCAGGATCTGATGACAGAAGCTCTCCTATCTTTATTTACAGAGTGAGGAATAGTAAGGCTATGGCCCTGAGTTGCTGCATAAATGCTGAAATAACTATGAGCAAATTCTAAGTAGAGTACTTAAGAGGAGCAGTGGATAAGTGATATATTAGTACTATAAATATTAGTACTATTATTTTGCTTTATTACCTCTAATTGCATTTAAATACATGTTGCTATATCAAATCTATTTGGACAATGTGGAAATTAAGGCAAAGACAAATTATCCCTCATCAAAATTCACTTATTGTCTCTACAAGTGGGTATTACAATCACTGGTCCTTCACCTCTGAACCTCCATGCCTTTATCATACTACATATAGACAGACAGAAGGATGGGAGAAGGAAGGAAGGAAGATAGAGTCAAGGATGGGTGGGTGGATGGGTGGGTGGATGGGTGGGTGG